ACAACATTAAAGTCAATCAAGAATATTAATTGGAAAATATAGATTATAAACAGTGTCTATCCATCACTTACTGGATATTATTGAGTGTCTGCTATGTGCTTCTCCGTGGTTTGAGCACATGGTATACAGGAGTGGGAAAAGAAAAAATCCTGTCTTCCATGAGCTTTTGTTATATTCAGGAAGATAAGTAGATAACAACAAACTAATAATTTTTAATTAACATTGGATATATTCTTTATTTTATTTTATTTTTTAATTTATTTTTGAGTTGGAGTCTCACTCTGTTGCCCAGACTGGAGTGCAGTGGCCGCTCCTGGCCACCGCAGCCTCAACCCGCTGGGCTCCGGCTATCCTTCTGCCTCAGCCTTCCAAGTAGCCGGAATTACAGGCATGCACTACCACACCTGGCTGATTTTTTGATTTATTGTAGAGATGAGGCCTCGCTGCCCAGGTGGGTCTCGAACCCGCGGGCTCAGGCAATCCACTCACCTCAGCCTCCCAAAGGTGCAGGATTACAGGCTGAGCCACCGAGCCCAGCTTAGATATATTCTTTATTTTATAATGAATTAATTACATGCCATTTTATATCATTAAACATCAAGTACAATGAAGTATTCTATAAAAATATGGAGAATGAAAATCAGAGTAAATGCATAGATGTGTTGGCATGGTAATGGTATTTTAGCAAGAGTGGTCAGGAAAGGCCTCCCAAAGAGCGTGATATTTGCACAAAGACCTGGATGAAATCACAAATTGAGCCATGGAATGATCTATGGGGAAGTGTGTTAGTTACAGGCAGAAGGAACAGCAAGATCAAAGCCAGTGTGATTCATGTTCGTTAAAAGACAATGTGTACATTACATGTGCTAGAAGATGCATGTGCTAAGGAAAAGCTCAATTATGGCTTCTTCTCTTCATTGAAGTCACTATTTAAAAAGGGCACCTAGCTCATGCCTATAATCCCAGCACTTTGGGAAGTGGAGACAAGAAAATTGTCTGAGCCCACAGGTTCAAGACCAGCCTGGACAACTTGGTGAGACCTCATTTCTACAATAAGTCAAAAACTTAGCTGGGCAGGGCGGCTACTTGGAAGACTGAGGAAGAAGGATTGCCTGAGTCCAGCATGGCAAGGCTGCAGTAGCCATGAGCGTGCCACTGCACTCCAGCCTGGGCGACAGAGTGAAATTCTGACTCAGAAAACAAATTAATTAGTTAATTAATTAGTTAGTTTAAAAGGGCACCTCCCACTGCCACCATCACTGCATCCTGGCCACTCCAGATGGCTTCCCTGCTGCTGCCCCATGGTCTTTGCTGAATTGCTTTGTAAAAAGAGGGAGAGCATCCTTCTTCCTGAAAAACCTGGTTCTCAAAACAGCTCTGGCCTTGGAACCCCTTTGGCACCAACAAACTTTAGGCTGCACTCTTCCATGCCTTCCCCTTGTGTGCATGCATGCTCACACACATATATATGCACACACATGCACATATGCACACATACACACCCTACCACCATCATGAGTTCCTGGACCCCTGCTATTCTCTATGTAGGCTGATTAAGAACCACCCTCAGAGAAATCTGAAAGAACACTCATCTAATGTCAAGTTCTAATCATAGGACGTTGGGTTTTTCTAAATCTTCTTTTGCTTGTTTTTATTTCAGTGCTTTTATAGCAGTATATGTGCTTTGTTAAAAGAAATTCAAACAGTAAAGGATGATATTAGATTTAAAGGATTTTATGTTCCCAACTTCATGCCAAGTCCTAGTCCCCCAGGGAATCACATTTAAATGTTTCTGGGGGTTGCCCACTATAATTCTGAGTAGTATGCTTATCTTGCCTTTTTTGTGTGTGATTTGCCAACTTTAGACTTTCATGAATAACTCACTTTCTTCCTATCTCCTTCCTTTTCCCTTGATGTTTTATTGACTTTTTTATGGTACACTGGTGACCTTTGTGACTTTAAATAACATATTTAAATCATCTTTGGTCCATGTGTGTTATAGAGTCTGTCTTGTCTCCATTGTGTAAGATTCTAACTTCATTCTGTAAGAGGAAGAAACGAAGATCTCTGAACTGCCTTCATTGTTCCTTCATCTAACTACATCCAGATTTATAACAGTCTATCAACGACTTTTAATTTTTCAGTAACAAATGCAAATATCTTGACAGTGTGAGCCTTTCATATTTTGTCTATAGAGTGTGAAAATTAAAGTTTTTTAATTATGTAAATATGACTTGCTATAGACCAAAATCATGACTTGAAATTCACAGAGAGAAAAAAACTGTAATTTTTACTTATGACATTTTAGTTCCTTGAAGAAGAACAAGTCATTATCTCTCTTCTTCTACTTCATTAGTTGACAGAATCTTACAACTTTTAATTTGCTTCATATTTAGACCATATTTTCTTGAGCAGATTTTTGGTTTTGCTTTTCCTAGAGCTTCTACTTGCTTTTCCTTATTCTTGTTGACAAAAGAAAGATGTGGCTTCTTCTTCACCATGTTCCTTCATCCCTGTAACTTCTTGATTATATACTTATTAAATAGCCCACTTGGGATGCCTGCCTTCCAGATCTACTATACAGCTGGGATTTCTCTCCATTGTACTCCTTAGTTCCCTTCTTTTTAGATTTCCAGGATTTACTCTTTCTTGGATAGCTTTAGGTTCACCATCAATATACCTTAAGAATTTTATTTTACAGAAAGCACATAAACTTTCTAAAATCTCATATGTCTGAAAATGGTTTTATTTTTCCCTCATATGATGATTGTTGAGTTGAACATAGAATTCTAGGTTCATGTCATTTCTTCTCAGGACTTAGAAGATCCATGTTCTACTGTCTTCTAGCATTCATTGTTAGTAATTTAAAAATTTTAGTGTTATTGTTGTTCATTTGCAAAATATATTTTTTTCTATGTGGAAGTCTCTAAATTCTTATCTTTGAGGGTTTTAATTTTCAGGAAGACACATCTAGATGACTTTATCAGCTTTATTTCATTTTATGTTTCGTTTATTTTGTTTGACAGTTGGTAGATCCTTTTAACTTTTGCCTGTCTTAGCTTGGGGAAGTTTTCTTCTCTTATGTCTCTGACTCTTTTTCCCTCTTTCATTTTCTCTTTTCTCTATTTTTGGAATCCTGTTAGATGTCAAACCTCCTGAATTGATCCTCTATATCTCTTTTCTTTCATACATCCTATATGTTTGACTTCTTTATTCTTAATGCTGGAAAATTTATACTCATCTTAAAATTTATACCTGTATTAATTTTTAACTGATCTTATGTTCTATTTCTAAGAAATTGCTGCATGTCCTCTACTTATATTTAGCATCCCCCTTGCCTGTTGTATTAACGCAGAATCTTTTCAAATCACTATTGATTATTATTTAGAAGGTGGATTGTATTCAGTACCCTGAATTTATTTTCTCTTTTTTATTGCTGTCAGTTTACCTTGGACCTTCGTTCCTGCCATTGGATTGTTTCAAATATCTGGTGATTCCTAGTTGTCTATTAATGTTTTTAAACAAAGGGCTTAGTTGATTAATAAGGTAATTAACATGGGTCTCCTCTGCTATTGGGTTGGTAAGTACTCCCAGTAGACTTCTCATTTGAAAGAGGTTTGGGGACAGGGGATGAAGGTGTTTACTTTGCAGTAGGCTCCAAGTTTGTGAGTTAGATAGGCAACTAGCAGCCTTTGCTTTGAGGTACATAGATAGGATCTCATGGGTAGGCATGTGCCAAAACAAAAAGGGCTTTACTGTATGATGTTAATCTCAATATGAGTCCTAGCCCTTCTCAAGTAGTGTTCAATATTAGTGAAGAACCACTTTCTATTTTTGGCCTAAGACAAATCATCCTTGAGTCAATTGCTCATTTATTTGGGAAAAGGAGTGGAGCTCAAGAGGCCTCACTGATGTCTACACAACCATTGAATTTCTTTTCTGAGTACTCTGTCATAATCCAAGCCTGCTCTCTGAATCAGCCAACTCAAAACTGGACTCTATAGTCAGAAAGTACAAGCTCTTCCATCTATTTTAAAGGACAGTGTTATTACATTTATGTTATCATTCGTTTTCATTTCTCCAGAAGTTTGTCAAAATCTCTAATTCTGCTCTTGCCCTCATTTTTTCCTTTTGCAGATTTCTTTCCCCTTTAGATATCTTCTTATATTTCACCAGGGTCTAGGGAAGAAGAACAGCTGAATGTGTGCTTGTTCCTCCATTGAATTGAAAGCATTTATATTCATTTTGCTTTTCTAAATTTTCTAAAATGAGTGTATATTATTACATTCATAATAAGAAAAAAAACCACAAAGACTGTTCTTAAAAATGGAAGGACTTTAGAAATATGTTCTTATCATACGTAGAAGGGAAGAATCTCACTAATGTTTTGTACTGATCATTATAGTACCAACCAAGAAACTGCTTTACACAGTGCTTCAATCTAAATGAGGACAAGGCTGGAGAATTTTGCTGTCTTACTTGTGCTTTTTATTTTTGGAAGCTGGTTTAGAAATGTTGTTAATGCAGTAGGAGTGTCAAATACCTCAAAACTTAGTGGCTGAAAATGGCAAGCATTTATTGACTTACCCTTTGGAGAGATTCAGGTGGATGGTACTGCTGGTCTCCCCTAAGGTCACTCAAGTATCTCCGTTCATTTGGCTGTCGATGGCCTTACTCACCTGTTTGGGGGATTGACTGGGCAAGAGGGATGGTTGGACCAGTGTCTCTCATCACACAGCAGGCTGGCTTGGGCTCATTCGCATGGTGATGCTTGCAGGATTCCTGAGAGCAACAAGAGAGAAAAATACAGGGCTCAGGACTCACAATGCTACTTCCACCACTCACTTTGGTCAGAGTAAGTCACATGATCAGCCCAAATTCAAGGGGTATAGAAATAAATTCCACTCTTGACAGAAAAAGTTGCAAAGCATTATAGTAATTTCACAGCTCATCTCTTAACAATTCTAATTTTTTGTTGTCTGATTCTATTTTCCTCAGGCTTCTTAGGACCCAGTCTCTGGAATGGTTCTACAATAATGTGAAGAGCCGCTTCAAGCGCTTTGGCAGTGCCAAGGTCCTGAAAAACTTGTACAGAAAACACCGACTGGAGAGTGGAGCATGCTTTGACATTCTAGGTACTCTCACTGTCTGCTGCCCTAGGAGTCTCTGGTGAACTGGTGGGATAGAGGTCTGGCTTCGAGGCCCTGAACACTGGGACACTCTCATCTGAGACCCAGAAATTTGCTTAAATATCTGGCACTAGTGATGAACAGAAATAGAAGGACTGACGCCAGAGACTCTGTTATATTTTGACTCTTTGGGTTCCAGTATCCCCTGGAGATTACAGTTTATATGTTAGGAGCTGCAAAGACCAAAGTATTTCTACAAATGATGAAGCTGGTTTTAATTCTAATTCTCTAACAATTATAGATTATTGATCATCATCCCTTGATGATTAAAGGGTTAGAAAGTCATTTTACTTGGCTACAGAGAGACGACATCTACACTTGGGGGATGTGCCCTCCACTTCCCTTTCTTTTTACTCCAGACTTCTGTTCTTACCAGGCCCAGAATTTGATGCAATAGGAATGTTAGAGAAATGTCAGCTTCCTTTCAGGAAGCTTGAATACAGTTAAGACAACCAAGCTAATTATAATGAGAAATTATATTTTGGGGTACTATTAGACCATCCAGTAGAAAGGGATGGTTGTCAGAATATGAACAGAATGTCCTCCAGAAAGGCTATTTCTTTCTGTCTAGTGGTAGATTTTTTTTCACACTTTGCTGACACAGGTGAATGATTTTTATCCATAAGAAACAGGGAAGAGAAAAAAATCTCATCTATCTCATTTGGCACCTTTTCACCATCATTATTTTACATTGTTGTATTCTTAATAAAGTCTCTGGTTGTGCCTTTTCTAAAAATATGTTAGCTGCTTAGGCAACGGGGAAAATAGGATAAAAGCATTAAACATGTAGAATCATTAGGGCTTTGGTGGTCATTGTTAGAATCTGTCTTTCAAACTGCTCAGGAAGAGTATAACTAAGAGAACAGTGCAGGTTTGCACATATTATTTTTATCTTTTTTTTTTTACTAATTTTTCTTTAAAAATGTTCTCTAGGAATGGAGGCAAAGAAAAAAGCTTAAAAGTCGTACAGTGGTTTTTTGGCCCAAAGAGATATCGCAAGAAGGTTCCAGTCCAGAATAAACTCACTCATTTGTATCCCATCCTTTCTTTCCTCTCTTGTGCATGCCTGAGTATGTTTCATGTACTCCTTTAAATGTTACCAAATTCAAATCTCGTAGATGTTCTTTACCACTTCATGCAAATTGAGGGAAAAAGCAAACACATGTAGAGACTCCTATAGAACATAATTCCAATTTCTTTCCCTTTCTCTCTAAGGCCCCATAGGTGGAGAAGGCAGACATGACTCCCAAGTGGACTAGTGCAAGACTTTGAAATTTACGAGTGTCATTTTCAAAGGAGAATCCTTGCTTGAAATAAGTATCTGCCGTGATTGAAGCAGATTTAGGTGCTGGGCCCTATGTGATTCACCACTTCTTTCATCTGAGCCTCAATCACAGCACTGATCATTTATCACATTGCATTCAGGTGGTGGTTTACACAGCTGCCTCTCCTGCCAGACCATGATATGCAGATGGTAGCCTCTTTATCTCTGTGTTCCTAAAGTGTGGTTAATACCTGGTACATTTTTTTTAATGTATATTTTTTATTTTAAAGTTGTGGGTTACAGTTAAGGGTTAGGTATAAAAATATTCATTATACAGGTACCCTTATTGATGAGGTGTGCCCCCTTTCCCCAGACAGATATTGACTACCCTTAATCCCACCTCCCTTCCCCTCCCTGCCCCCCTATAGTTTCCTGCCATTGTCAATCCTTTTCTTATAGTATTACAGTAGTTGTTCAAGGTCCACTTATGAATGAGAACATGTGATGCTCAGATCTTTGTTTCTGTGAGAGATCACTCAGTATTATAAACTCCAATTCCATCCAGGTTGCTGAAAAATTCATGATTTTGTTCTTTTTTATGGCTGCGTAATATTCCATTGTGTATATGTACCATATTTTTTAAATCCAGTCCTCTTTTGATGAATAGCATGGTTGGTTCCATGATCTTGCTATTGTGAACAATGCTGCGATAAACATACATGTGCAGGTGTCTTTTTATAGAGTGATTTGAGTTCTTCAGGGTATATTCCCTGTAGCGAGAGTGCAGGGTCATATGGAAGGTCGATTTTTAGAGTTTTTAGGAATTGCCTGGCACATCTTAAATCATCAATATTGCACTAGTTCAATTTTAAAAGCATTTTATAGATGCCAAGACACTTCATAGAAATATTAGAATCAGTTGCTTTAATATGATTAGCATCTACATTTAAATTAAGATTTCCTTTGAATAAACATGAGGACAGTCAGACAGGAGATGAGATGAAATGGTACTCAAACCTATAAAGTCATGATCATAAAACAATGAGATGTCTAGATGCCATGTAGAACATTTAATTACACCTGAAGTGTGGAGAAATCTTCCAGGGCTTAAGGCTTCTTCCTGGTTGTATGAGTTGATTAGACAGTCTTTAGCATTAATCTTTACCTGTCACCTAACACCCTTTGTAGGTTTATCATCTGTCATCCTCAATCATGACCACACATTAAAATCACCTAGGGAGCTTTGGAAAAACATCCCAATGTCCAAAATCTTCTTCCACTCCTCATCAATTGCTTTTGGAAGGGAGGACCCCCCCCCCAAAAAAAAGCAAAATTATTTTTTGGAGGGTGGGCCCTGGTAGTACGGGCTTCCCCCACTACATAAGTGTTCTAGGAGCCCACCAGCATCAGTGTACCAGCTAGTGCTGTTGTGAGAGGCTGCATTCGGCTTCAGTGAATTTTGGGGGAGGAGGATTCTTTCAATGCATTTGCTCATTTCATGATGGGTGATTTATGAGCACACTTGACTATACTGTCCTGAGTGTTCACCAGTTTTTGACCAAAAATAGCATGACCCTTGCCTCACCCTCCCTATTCACCTGATATCGTCCCTGTGACTTTTTTGTTTGTTTAGCCTGGATTTAAAAGTCCTCAAAGGGAAATGTTTTACTAAAACCAAAAATGGCAGAAGCACTAAAAGACCTCAAAATTGATGAGTTCAAAAACTGTTTTAAGCAATGGAAAAAAGCATCCCAATGGTGTATTGCATCAAATGGAGAGTACTTTGAAGGTGACTGAAGTTGAAATATGCAAGAATAACAACACAATTTTTTAATAAATAAATTTCATTTCTTTGGGGAGATCCCTCTCACATGAATGTCTGGAGGTAGGATCCAGGATACTTATTTATTTATTTTTTTTTGAGTTGGAGTCTCACTCACTCCAGTCGCCCAGACTGGCTCCCGGCCACTGCAGCCTCAACCTGCTGGGCTCTAGCGATCCTTCTGCCTCAGCCTTCCAAGTAGCCGGAATTACAGGCATGCGCTACCACGCCCGGCTGATTTTTTATTTATTGTAGAGATGAGGTCTCGCTGCCCGGGTGGGTCTCGAACCCACAAGCTCAGGCAATTCACTCACCTCAGCCTCCCAAAGGCACGGGATTACAGGCTGAGCCACCAAGCCCAGCTAGGATACTTGTTTTTTAAAGCTCCCTGGGTTGTTTTATGATAGAACAAAGACTGAGAGCCTCAGCTAGAACTCACCATAATTAGTTCAGCAGTGTTCTTCAACTCCATCTCAGGATACTTATTTTCAGAAGTTTGTTTGTCAGATCATAATATGCAAAATCTATAGAGCACAAGACATGTTATCCTCCAAGACTCTCAGCGTAAAACTCCTTTTGCCTTTAAAACATATTCACTACACAGACCAGTGTAGTTTGCCATAAAAATACTCAGTCCCCTGAAAATTCATTTAATACACAGAATCTCATTGGTCACCCATCCTACACACCTCATACTGCTGTCAGTTTCTTTCCAGCCCTCTCAAGCTAGTTTTACTCCTTTCCTGAATCTCATATCAGGTAACCAGATTAGGCCTAAAAGGAGACTCATTCGTTTTGTCAGATCAATCTAAGATTTATTTATTCCGTCAGTAAACGTTTATTGAACATCCACTATGTGTCCAACTGGTTTAAGAGTTGGGGGTGATAAAATGAGCAAGACTGCCATTTCAGAGCCAGAATTCTAATGGAGAAGTCAGATAAGTAAACACATTTATAAATAATATGATGTGGAATGATAATGAGTGCTCACAGTGTTTATCTGATAGACCTATGGCATTGTTAGCATTTATCCTAAAAATAAACACTAATGAAAAGGTGAAAGCATTATTAATACACTTTTTCTTCAGACAATTGGATAAATAATATATGGTTTGATTCAGTATTGAATAAGTAAAATAGGAAAAATAAACCTTGCTTTCATTTATTATCATTTTATATTTATTTTTGACATGATTCTTGAAAAGGTCTATTGCCTCTTTCATCTGGGATTTGATTGACAAATGAGATGTTTTGAAAATGCTGAGCCACATGAAATCAGAGCTTCCTCCAGCTCATGAAAAACAGTGACTTGATGTCAGCTGTCTGCTTAGTCAGTGCTTTCCAGAACAATTTAATCGCTTTCTGCCCTTGGGAAAAATCGCATCATCCAAAATGAAACTAATGCTCCCACCTATGAATTTAAAGGGAAACAGAAGGAGAGGTGTAGTACTAGAAGATTTCAAGTCATGAAAAGTCAGAGCTTATCCTCTGGTGAGCTCAGTCTCCCAGTGGCATTTTTAGATCTTCTCTCTCCTCATACTCCCCACCACCCTCCCCATCTCTGAGCAGATAACCTCACCTCCTCCGTCCATGACAGACAGGGTACACCAGGCGGGAACTTCCTCATCTTCTCCCCTTGTGCTGCTGCAGTCGTGGCGCTGTCTCCCTTTTCTGTTACCTGTCCCTCCCTTAGTCTTTGCATCCTATCCCTGCCACCTTCCAGGAAGATCTCAAGATTACTTTTTCTTGCCTATTCAACCACTCTCTTAACTGGGACTTGTAAACACACCCAAATCTCTACTGTTTTCCAAACTCTTCCTTTTCCTTCACACATTGCCTTGCCAGTCAGTCTCTTTCCCATCACAGGTAAATTTCAGGAAGCAAGCCACACTCAGGACTTTCATTTCCATTTCCTGCCCTTCCTCACTTACAATCACCCTCTCCCCCTTCCAAGCTGTTTTCCACACAACAGCCACAGTGTACTTTTAGAGGCACAAATCTCACCAGGTCACCTCTGTGAAACTTTTAATGGCTTCACATGCCTGGTGAGATAAAGATCCAAACACTGATGTGGCCCAGTGACCTGTGTGGTCTGGGTCCCCAGGTCACCTCAGCCAAGCTTCCAGTCCTCTCTGCAGCTCAGCCACACCACCTCTCGTATAGGTCCTCAGATGCACCTTGTTCTGTCACTGCCGGTCTCTGTGGAAGCTGAGTGCTGTGCCCTGGATGCTCTCACAATCCCCATAGCCCTTGGCTGGTTCCTCATTGACTAGATTAGTCTTCTCTGCTGAACACTTTCACTATACTGTGAGCAACCCCATCAGAGCACTTCACACATTTATCATTTTGTATTTATTTATATGTCATTGGTTAGTGGATTCTCCTGCACTAGACTCTCAAGCTATTCAGGGCAGGGAGGGTTTTAGCTTTGCTTACCAATGTACTCCTGATACCTAGCCCAAGGCCAGGCACCTAGTAGGTGCTTGTGGACTCTGCTGGAGGAATGAATGAATGCCAGATGCAGCAATGCCAATATGAAATATTTGCACTTAGATGTATGCGTAACCTGGGAACTGAGGAGATGACTTATTCTAAAACTTTATTTTATAAGCAAGGAACAGAGCCCCAGAGAGACAAAGTCCCTTCTACAAGGTCACTGAGCTAGAATAAGTGGACTTCTGAGAAGCTTTTGAAAGCCTAGTTAAAAAATACCAACAGAGACTAGCATATGGTCAGGCTGAATTATTGTGACAGGCAACACTAAACCTGCTACAAATATCTACAGCAAATACCTTCAGAGTTCCCTCATGGGAGCCCATCCAAGAAAACATGAATGTGTTATGTGAATTTAAGGTCCATTGCTGAGTTTGACTTAGAATCAATGGCATTTGCTTCTTTATGAGCTAATGCCCATATTTATTATTTTGTTTCTCTCAAGTAGCATGTTCAACTGGCATCCAACTCTCTAGGTACCATCTTGGGCCCTGGGTATAGCAATTTTCTTTTTAAAAAGTCATTATCCCTACCTTCAAAGATTTCATTTGATTAATTAATATGGAAACACAGATAGTAAAATAATCAATTTAAAAAGGGCTTTAAAAAGAGCTTAGCTGATTGCTCTTCCCAGGCTGGAACTATAACAAGAGTTGTGTGTTCAATTAAGAGAAAACCAGAAAAGAGACAATAGGCTCAATTAAAAGGCCAAGTACTGTGACTTGCCTTGCCTCACTCTGGGTCTGTTTCACATGGGTCTTTTCCAGAAGCGAATGATGATAGTGAAAGTACAGGCCAGACTCGGTAGCTTAGCCTATAATCCCAGCACTTTGGGAGGCCAAGGCGAGTGGATTGCCTGAGCCCGTGGGTTCAAGACCAGTCCAGGCAACTTGGCAAGAATCGTCTCTACAATAAATAAAAAATTAGCCAGGTGTGGTAGCGCATACCTGTAGTTCTAGCTACTTGGAAGGCTGAGGCAGAAGGATCGCTGGAACCCAGCAGGTCAGCGCTGGGGTGGCTATGAGTGTGCCACTGCACTCCAGCCTGGGCGACGGAGTGAGACTCCAACTCAGAAAAAAAAAAGAAAGTATTAGCTACAGGCAGCTGTTTGGACTCCAGCTATAAGATATGTACAATGTCTCATCACACATCAGAGGAGAGTGCTATTGCTATTTCTGTTTCTCTGGCAAGAAAGCCAAGTGTTAGAGAGGTTAAATAATTTGCTCAAAGTCACACAACTAGTAATGTGCAATTCCAGGAATTGACCTCACATCTCTCAGACTTTAATCTATTGTTCTGTCTTTGACTCCAAAATGCCTCCAAAGAAGGTATTGGAAGAAAGTTGAAGGTGACAGTAATGTTGTGCCAAGAATCAGTGTGCAAAGAAAAAAACAATGAGACAAAATTTGTAGCATTATTGTGGGACCCAGTGACTCTCTAAATCTATTTGCAAGGCTAACTTATTCAAAGTAGGTAATGGTGATCTGCCAGCTCAGTGACACAGTGCTGAAGACCTTTGATCATCATATTCTCTCTGTTTCTCTTTCCTCTAGGAGGAAGCTTTTTTGATTCAAACCTGGAGAATGAAGGAAGCATTTCTGGAAGTGATTCAACATTTTATAAGCAGTCAGAAGGTAAAGTGACCTAAGACTTAACAGCTAATGGGAAGCTGGAGGATTAGAAACACCTTCAGATCGCCGGAGCCCAGCAGGTTGAGGTTGCGGTGGCCGGGAGCAGCCACTGCACTCCAGTCTGGGTGACAGAGTGAGACTCCAACTCAAAAAAAAAAAAGAAAGAAACACCTTCAGATACTGTCAGGATCTCCCAGTTTTATTGCTACCCCTGGATGCAACTGTCTATTGCTATACCGCAATGTGAGTCTCCATCATCTTTTTATTGCCATCATCAAAATAGGTGAATATATCCAGAATATGGCAGAGAGAACTGTGTTCACTACACAACCACATGATACTTTATGATCAACTAGTAAATGTTCTTCTGGAGTGGAACATAACAATCAATCCACTCACTTGTGCATCTCATATTAAAATATTCCTATAGCAAATGTATCACTAACTGATTAACTTCTACTTTTTTGTGCCAATATAATAGTCCCATTAGAGCAGTGGTTAAAAGCCCAACAAACGTCTAATTTCAAATAAAACTTTCTCCATCACTCCAGTTCCTTCTCTAAAGTACTGGACATTGACAACTAGCGCCTCCTGAATTGCCTTCCTCCTGTGATACCCACAACTCATCTTTACTCTCTCTGTTCTCTTTTGGGTGATGTGATGGTTAATTTTATGTGTCAGCTTGACTGGGATAGGGGATACCCAGATAGCTGGTAAAAACATTATTTCTGTTTCCAAAAGAGAATAATATTTTAATCACAGATTGAGTAAAGAAGATCTACCCTCACCAGTGTGGGTAGGCATTGTCCAATCTGCTGAAGGCCCAGAAAGAATAAAAGGGTGGAGGAAGAGTGAATTTGCTGTCCCTGTTCTGGATCTGGGACATCCATCTTCTTTTTCCCTCAGACATCAGAGCTTCTGACTCTTGGGCCTTTGGACATTAGGGCTTAAACCTTTAGCTCCCCTTTTGGACTGAATTGAATTATATCAACTGCTTTTTTGGGTCTCCAGCTTGCAAAGAGCATATCATGGGTCTTCTTGGCCTCCCTATTACGTGAGAGAATTCCCACAGCAGATTTCCTCCTATGTATCTGTATATATCCTGTTGTTTCTGTTTCTCTGAAAAACCCTAACTAAAGCAGATGCCTATTCATGAAGGTTCTGTCCTCTGTCATCCTTGCTCTGCATCTTCTCCATCATATGATCTCAGTACACCTCCACTTACTGTGGGCCTGTAATGGCCAGAGTTGATTTCAGCTCAGAGTTCTAGACTCAGATTTCTAATGCTTGACTATGAGCAGCTGAAGATTCTACAGAATTTTTATCCTCAGCATGTCCTAGTCAATCTCTTAAGCACACTACATCTACAACATATCTTCACAGCAACACCTAGATTCATGTTTGATTAAATAACTGGATACTATAGCCTAGCCACATTGACATAAAATGAACCTTCCCACTATTTAACTTGTCTTTTGAACTTTGGCCACCTTGCAAAGAGATCTTTCCTTCAAGCCCCCTCCCCACTTCCACCAGCCACCCAAGTACCTGTCAGCTCTATTTTCAATCTTCTGCGTTTCCATTCTGAAGCCTATGGCCTGAGTACTTCCCTGCTCAAAATTCTCCTCTATGTTAATTTTAGTGACTATTTGAATCTGTCAAGGTTCTCCAATAGGAGATACACACACACACACACACACACACACACAGACAAAAAGGCATTCATTTTAAGAAACTGGCTCATGTAATGTGTAGGTCTGGAAAGCCCAAAATCTATAGGGCACGTCAGCAGGCTGAAAGCTCAGTCAGGAGTAAAGGATGAAGTTTTGAGGCTGAATTTCTCCTCTGGTCATTGCTCTTAAGGCCTTTTTACTGATTGGATGAGACCTATCCACATTGTTGAGGGTCACCCTTATATAGAGTCAACTTTATTAACTACATTAAAACACATCTACAAAATACCTTCACAGCCACACCTAGATTCATTCGTGTTTTATTAAATAACTGGATACTGTAGCCTAGCCATGTTGACATATAAAATGAACCATCCCACTATCTAACTTGTCTTCTGAAATTTGGCCATCTTGCCTTCTTACCTTTCCTTCATACACTCTCCAGTTTTTCTCTCTTAAACACTGGCCTGAGCCTTTACTTTTCAGCCAGTGTTCCACTTCACTCTCATCCAATAATTATAATTATGATATTCAAAGCCTTTCTGATTATGGCTCCCAGTGCTTACTTTCCAGGGATGTGTGGGGCTTAGTGTCTATCCCTATTACAGAGATAGTTATGCATACTTCCTTGTTGCTACTTACATGCCTAATCACCCAATACCTAGGAAAGCACAGGATTCTGCTTGTCCATCAGGGCATCTCTGGGGCCATCACAGAGCCAAGCACACAGGAGTAACTCAGTAAATGTTTATTAGATTCAGCAAGAATTTGTGGACCTCTTCTGTGAAAAATACATTGATGGGTATCTTGAAGAGAGAGGGGAGACACAATGTCTATCTCCAGAGAGCATTTAGTATGGTGACAACTTAGATTTTATAGACTGTAGTTATCAAAACATTGGGAAAACTGTTTGCTCAGTCAGCCACCTGACGGTGGGCAGAGACTCGGGCTGTGTCACCCCTATGAGACTCTGTCATGACTGCCAGTCTGTAACATACTCATCAGCTAGATCACTTTGGCTAAAGTTAGTTTGGCTTTGGAGATTTTATATGTTTGTCAAATGCAACTTCTGTCTATGTTTGTGTCTTTAAGAGGCTAAGAAGCTTGATTTTTTTGAGTGAGTGATTAATTAATGAATTGATGTATTTACACCCTGTCTCATTTCAAAGAATTTTTGGCAGCTTACAGGAAATTTGCATGTGTTAAATAATACATGACTAGGAGATTATAAATGGAAACAGGAGGTTGAAACCAAGAAAAAGGAGACCCAGGCACCCAGCCCTTGCAGACCTACACTCCTGTGCCTGATGAGGCTTGGACTTCGGGGGCAAACTAAGAGAGGGATGATAGAAATTTTCAGAAATAAGAAGCTAAAATCTAGTACCTCGAGGGAAGCAATACTCTTCTGAGGACTTAGCTTCAAAAGAATTCTGTCACCTGGGGAAGTCCTTTGATTTGGGAGAACTTTATTGCATTTGCAAAAAAACAATGTGTTCGCTAAAACATGATAGCATTATATTTTAAAATCATGTTAGCTTTTATTTGTCTCAATTTGTGGTTAAGATCAAGGACTTTGGAGATGGAGTACTGAAATCAAATCTTATCCTTCTTATTGGCTTGTTGTGTAGCCTTGAGCAGTTTATTTAACCACTCTATCCTTCAAATTTACCATCAGTGGAATAGTACCCACATGGTACCTACTCGCTGTATTACTGTAAGGATTAACTATGATCATGTATGTAAAACTTTTAGCCTAAGACCTGGCATGTGGTCAAGCTCTGTGAGGTGACCCAGTGTTTTTATTGATACCAGTTTACAGTCTAAAAAATTATCTCATTAATTTAGTATTTGCATTAAATCATAGGCACATCCCAGTGTCCTTAGGGCATTTAATAACTTTTATTTCCATTATCACAAAGATACATTATATGTACAAAATAAAGACAGGATAGTCTTTATCTGAAAAAGTGGACGAAGAACCATTACTTCCTTATACTAAGCCCTATTTTCAGTCATCTTTAACTTACTCTGTATGCTTGGACCAGTGCTTAGTGTTAGGATACAACAACGAATAAGATCAATTCTTACTTTCTGAAAATGACCTGTGGGAAGAGGACAAGGGGTGGAGCCTTTCTGGCCCTGATGAAAGCAAGCCCAGAACCTGGAACCACATCCAGCCAGGGGAGGAGCTGAAGGGATCTGAGAAGATCTGTTAGAGAAAGAACCCTTGGGCCAATCCTTGGGGTTCCTAGGAACTAGCTGAGTTACAGAGCAGAAGACCAGGAGGGAGTAGGAATCAGAAAACATTTATGAAGAGAGAGAGAGAGAGAAGAGGTGGGGAGGGAGAGGAAGTGAGAGAGAGAGGGAATGAAGGGGAGAAGGGGAGAGAGAGAGAAAGAGAGAGGGCAGCTAGAGCATGGGATATGTGTGGCAGATGGGACAGGCAACGGACTTGTGTGCCACTTTAAGCAGTTTGGAAGTTATCCTGGAGCCCCTAAAGGATTTAAGTAGAAGGGCTTAAAGTGGAACAATCAGTTTGCTTGTCATTCCCTTTTAGAAACACTCTATGTTCTGTTTCTTGTCTAGGACATAGTATGATGGACACCTTGGCTGTGGCCCTACGGGTGGCTGAAGAGGCCATCGAGGAAGCGATTTCCAAAGCAGAAGCATATGGGGACAGCCTGGTAGGGCCTCCCCTGCTCCTCTCTGGGGAGAGGGGTGGGTCAGAGTCCCGGCCTCTAGGAGAAAGTATAGGTTGTTGGGAAATCAGTGTCACAATAGTCCTGACAAGAGCTGTGCCCCACCGCCCCCTGCATGTGGTCAACATTGTCTGGAGAAAGTGATTGCCAAGTCCCCTTAAATCCACCCGCATCACCCAGACATTCTCTTCCCTCTGCAGGACAAACAGAATGAGGCCAGTTACCTGCGGGATCACAAGGAGGAGCTAACTGAGGAACTGGCCACAACAATCCTGCAAAAGGTAGGTGGTCCCTGGCAGTCCCCATGGCTGCGGTTTCTTACCCATCCCTGAGCAGGGCCTCTGGTGAGGTGAAGAGCAAACATGGGGAATGTCTTGGATACTGCTTCTTCTGTGCCTTCTCACTTGCATTGCACTACAAATTGTAAGCTGTTTGAATGTGGTTGCTCTAAGAAGTTTTACAATCACACCCTCCTGTACCCTAAGCTGTCCCTTATACGGTGTACCAGTTAATTACTGCTGTAAGAAACCAACCACCCCAAAACAAGGATCTTTCTGTCTTTGACAGCCCATTTTCTGACACCAACTGAGAACTGAAATTCCATTCCACTCTGATACTGACTACCTGGAGTTAGCACAGACCCCATAAATTAGTGCAGACCCCACAAGGCTGTCCCCACTTCAGACGCCAGCCATAAGTCTCAGGTATCCCCATATCACCCCAATTCTGCCTGGTCTACTACAAATCCAGGGGTTCCCATAATCCCAGACCTCAGGTTTGATAATTTGCTAGAACAACTCACAGAACTCAGAGAAGTGCTTTACTTATAGTTACCAGTTTAATATAAAGGATACAGATGAACAGCCAGATGAAGAGACACATAGGGCAGCAGGGGTGGGGACAGAGTGAACAGCTTCCATGATGCCTTCTGTGTGTGTTCTCCCCCACCCCCATCCCCAGCACACCAGTATATTCACTAACCAGAAGTTCCCAGTGCCTCCTAGTTGCAGAGTTTTTACAAAAGTTTCAATTAGGCATATTGATTAAATGATTAGTCGCTTGGTTGAACTTACTCTTTCCAGTTTCTTTACCCTCTCTAGAGATTAGGGGGTAGAGCTGATAGTTCCAGCCCTCTAATTATGTACTATAGTTGGTTTTTCTGGCAACCATCCCCCTTCCTGAAATTACCTACTAAGGGCCACCTGGAATCACTTCATTAGTGTAATAAAGACACACCTATTACTCAAATAATTCCAAGGGTGTTTGAAGCTGTGTTCCAGGAACTAGGGACAAAGACCATATACAGATGCTCCTTCACTTACAACAGATGGAGTTATAGCCAGATGATAACCCCATCCTAAATTGAAAATATTGTAAGTGTAAATGCATTTAATATACCTAACACATCGTAACTTAGCCTAGCTACCTTAAACATACTGAAAACACTTCATTAGCCTACAGCTGGGCAAAATCATCTAATACAAAGCCTGCTTTATAATAAAGTGTTGAAAATCTCATGTAATTTGTTGAATATTGTACTGAATATATATTACTTTCTCGCCATCAAAAAATTATAAGTCGAGGATCATCTGTAAATATTTTTTATGATACCACAATTTCTTGCTCACGTATCTCCCATGGCTCCACTTCAACCTGTGGGTTGGGACCAGGTCAGCTGCAGCCTATTTATTCTGGGATCCGACTGAAGGCACATCAGCTACTCATGGCCATGACAGACATACAAGGGAGCAGGAAGAAGCAAGCAGAGCCTATGAAGGCCAAGGCTTAGCCCTGGCACCCTGTCACTGACTACTTCTTTACATGCCGTTGGCCGAAGCAGCTCTTACACAGTCAAGCCCAATGTCAAGGGCTGGAAGAAATAGTCTCCCCATATTGAGAGGGACGGCAAAGTCACACAGCAAAGGGCTATATATGGGGAGTGTTGAAAAACAATAATTCAGCCGGGCTCGGTGGCTCAGCCTGTAATCCCGCGCTTTGGGAGGCTGAGGTGAGT